AGAATTATCAAGGGCAGACTTTGTTGTTGTTTCATGTATATCCAAGGCTGAGACATTTATCCTTACTGACTCTCTATAGGATGAGACTTTCTAGTATGCCCACTGGAATTGTTGCCCTTCAGAGATGCTCGGCATTATTCAGGAGTCTCTGATCTAACTTCATCCAGGCTTTTTCTCTTGACCCTGCATGTGTGACCTATTAAGCCTTAGGCCACAGGCCATTAGGAATTAATACTTATTTTACTAGATTTACACTTCCTTCATTCTGGCATCAGAAGAACTTCCTTCCCTTCTATATCAGTTTAAAAATATTTTGAAAGTCACCCAGATTTTTAAAACATGCCAAGAGGATTTGTCTGAACACCTAGTTAGCCAATGTTGAACGCTAAAATCTATTTCCTTTTCTTATTACATTAAGTAGTATATTCGAAACATAATGGTAGTGAAAGCCATCATCTCTGACTTGTCCCTGATACCATGTCTTTGATATTTCACTATTTAATATATTCATTGTTTTCACCATCATATCTAGGTAGTTCCCTTTTCTTATGGCTTTACTTGGGATAGCTGTTGAAATGTATCAAGGATTATTTGACATCTGATAGGTTACTTCACATCTGTTACCAAAATTTATATATAAAACCCTTGTATTTTTTTTAAATAAGGTTGATAATATATAAACATGGAAAAAATTCAAGCTGTGAAAATTATTAAGTCCCTTCTTCCCATTGTAGTTCCAGGTTCCCTGGTTCCATTCTATAGAATTAATTGTGACTATTACCCTAAGATGTTCTCTACAAACTCAAGCATTAGAGGTGTCCCTCAACTCACACACACAGTGACATATCATATGTACAGCTCTGCACTTCCACTTCATAAGAAATTTGAGAGAGCTTCTCTATTACTTATAAACAAAAAAATATGAGGATCCTCTTTATCCTGGCCTCAAGCTGGATATCCTGCCTCACCCAGCTGAGGCCAGAAAAATGCCTCCTCCAGTTTAAGAATAGCAGTACTCATTACCTGCAAGTGTTCTAGAATCAATGACTGTTAGAGCAGGAAGACCTTAGAACGTGCTGTCCAAAAGAACTTACTGCTATGACAGAGATATTCATTTCTGCACTCTCTGAATGTAGTCACTAGACACACACAAGTGGCTATCAAGCATCTGAAGTGTAGCGGGTGTGACTAAGTACATACATTTTTACTTTTGATTACTTTTAATAGCTACACGTGGCTAGTGGTACTGTATTAGCTCAGCTGTGAGGTTGTAGAGGCCATCATCCTGGTTTTACAGAAGAGTGACCTGAGCTGTAGAGAAATGTTGTAGTGGTATAGCCAAGGTTGGAACTTAGTCTCCTGTCCTTCTCTTCATTCCTCTCTCAGTTTTAGCACAGTTTCTACTTCAGCCTACTTACTGTTGGGTGTGGGGAAGTGACTGTCAAAACCAATATGATCAAACCCTTCAAGATGTTGCTCTCCCTGGGATTCATGCGGCCATCCCCATTCAACATCCACCAGTTTCCTTTAGTTGCTTATTCCTTGTATCGCTAGGTTTTCTGGAAACTTTTCCCCATCTATACAGCTCCCCCTCTAGTTTGACATCATCATTACAAGGAGATGCTGTGCTGGTACTTCCTCTACTGCTTCCAGATCATCTTCAAAAGCCCCATTTCTGATGTCACTTGGCTCACAGGCCATCAGCAGTTACTACTGCCTACCCACCCAATGTAGTCTAAACTTCTTCGTTCAAGGTTCTCTATAATGCAGGCTCTTCCTCTTTCTCTAAATAAAAATTTTCATTTTAGAATGGTTTTTAGACTTATAGAAAAGCTAAAAACTATAGTTGAGACAGTTCCTTCATATTCTGAATCCAGTTTCACCCACTGTTAACAACTACTAAATTGACATTGGTACATGAATAGTAACTCCATACTTTGGGTTTCACTAGTTTTCCCCTAATGTCCTTTTTCTGTTCACACCTACTCATCACTGTCACCTTTAGCATCCTCTATTCTGTTATAGGTTTTCAGACTTTCCTTGCTCTTCATGACCTTGACAGTTTTGAGGAGCACTGAGTTCTTCCTATGTTTTTCTCAGTGTTAGACTGAGGTTATGGGTTGGGGAGGAAGACCACAGAAGTGAAGTGCTCTTTTCATTGTATCGTATCAAGGGTACATGCTATCAATGTGACTTATCATTGGTGATGTTAACTTTGATCATCTGGTCAAAGCAGGGTCTGTACCTTGTTTCTCTACTGCAAAGCTACTTGCCTTCCCCAGCTCCATACCATAATCACTGGAAGCCAGTCACTAAAATGCAAACCACTCAAACTTTTACTTCTTTGAGGGGGTTGTAAATACGTGAATAATTTACAATTATTCAGTGGGAAAGAATTGTCCGTTTTCTCTCATTTATTTAGCTATTTATATCAACATGAACTTAGGGATATTGATTTTACACTTTAGACTATATAACCCAATATTACTGTCATTCATTTATGTGCTCAAAATCTTCCACCATTAGCCAATGGTGGGCTGCTTTAGGTTGATCTTGAATACTTTCCCCACAGATACATATACTTTCTCAGCCCCTCTTTTTGGCACTGCAAAATGCTCCAGTCCGAGAGTTTGCCAATTCTCCAAATACCCTGGTTTCTATTATTGGAGACTGTGTAAGAAATCAAGGTCTGGGTGCTGGGTCTCATCTGTGTTAGCCACACGTCCTGCACAACTAATCTTGATGATCACCTACCCATGCCCTCATTGTCTGCACAACATTCTGCCTCAATGGAAATCAAGGGTGTACCAGCAGCATTTTGTGCTAAAATGTTCTTTTCCCAAAAAAAAAAAAAAAATGTTCTTTTCCCTCTACACCTGGTTGAAATTCTCCTTCCACAAGGCTACATTCAAAATGCCCCCTCTTTCAAGGTACCTTTCCTAAACTACTTGATATCCCACAGCCCTTTGTGCCCCTAGGCCATGAGTTACAGGGAGGCCCTGTGTTACAATGTATGTTACCCTGCAACATGTTTACTTTTATATCCCTAAACGCAGCAGTTAGCATGTAGCAAATGAAATGGTTGTTGCTTAATGAATATTAATTGACAAGAGTAAGGTCGGTGTAAGACGTACTCTCTAGGGTCTACCAGGGGCAAAGACAAACACACACCCTAAAATTAAAAACAACAACAACAACAACAACAAACCCTCCTCCAGAACCTTTATGCCCAGGGGACCTTTCTCTGTCACATGCTTGAACAAAATACCCTGTTTCGGACATAAGCAATTGTGAAAACCAGAGGGAAGAGCCTTATGACTTTCATCCCTCTCAACAGGGGAGCACATGTTTAAAGATAAGAATCAGTTAAATAAAACATACCCTAAGGAAACTCACAGAGCTATCCCAAGTCAGGAAAGGTTATGCTCCCATGAAATGATTATCTAGTGTAGGCATTTTTCTAGAATCCTTCCTCTCCTGCCTCTCTCAGTTCTGTCTATTGCTTAGGTGTTGGGGATGCAAATACAGCAAGCTTTTGTCCTGAGGTGTGGAAAGGGCTGGAGCTGTTGGTGTGAGAGATGTGAGAGGGTGGGGGTAGCATCAGAAAGAGGCAGGCCCGCATGGCCAGCATCTGCGTCTTCCCTGGTAGCAACACCAAAGGTACAGAGAAACAGCCAGGCTCATGAGGAGCAGCCCCTAAGGCAGAACACGTACCCTCTTATCTTCTGGATGATGTGGATGGCCCTTCCCGGAGCTCCCTGGCTCACCTGAATGGTGCCCAGCACACTGTTAGTTTCTATCTCCGGCCCTATCTCCCCGTATGTCTCCTATTGGTTCTGCTTCTCTGGAACGCTGACTAATATACAAAGTATAAAATAGGGTTGATAATCTCAATCATTTATTTAAATTTAAGGGAAAGCAAGATATTTGCATAATGTTAAATGATCTCCCTTGCCCCTAAATACATGGATTACTAAGAAAAATAGTGACTTCACAGTGAAGAAATCTGATAGGCCCCACCTTAACCAAGTGATCAGGGTTAACTTACCAGTAATAAGACCCGCTAACATCATGTACTCCCTGATAAGATACACTGAGGACCCGTCATTTCTGTGGCCTTCATCTAATCATCAGAAAACATCAGACAAACCCAAGTTCGGAGCCATTCTACAAAATAATCAGCCCTTTTTCAAAAGTGTCAAGGTCATGAAAGACGAGAAAGACAAAGACTGTCACAGGTTGGAGGGGACCTGACAACTGAATGCAACATGGGATCCTGCATTAGATTCAAGAGCTGAAAGGGACGTGAATGTAAAAAACTGGCGAAATCCAAATAAATTCTGTAACTTAGTTAAGTATCGCGCTAAGGTTGATTTCTTAGTTTTGGTCCTTGTACTGTGGTTGGGTAAGACGTTAGCATTAGAGGGAACTGGGCTGGGGGGTCAGGAACTCTGTACTTTCTCTGAACCTCTAAGTCCAAAATTAGTTCAAAATGAAAGTTAAAATCCCATTCACAAATGGCCTATTTAACATTAAGATAAATAGTAAATTCTAAAGAGGATCTGGAAGCTCTTAGAGGTCTACCAAAGGCAGGAAGCAGCACAACACAGAAAAAAAGGATTTTTGGATCCAGAGAAGCTAAGGTGGCAGCAGTGGGGCTGGAAGATGGTGGAGAAAGCTCCAGCAACCTAGCACGTAGGAAGCCAGTTCATTCATTCATTCTTTCTTTCTTTTTTTTCTTTCTTTCGTGCAAAATGGTGGTTTTATCAAAGCACAGGGACAGGACCTGTGGGCAGAAAGAGCTGCTGCCCTGGGCCTATGAGGGGTGGTTGATTAGATACTTGCACAGTTGGGGGAGGTAAGCAAAAACAGAGATTTCAAAAGGATTTTCATATGCTAAGGAGGACCTATAAGATACTGGAGGTCTTGTCACTGTCAAGTTAAAGATTGCTTTTCCCTCTAGCAAGGCATTAGCATCAAGACAATTGGAAACTTCCTGAAAAAATATGGAGCGCTTCATGGATTTGCGTGTCATCCTTGCACAGGGGCCATGCTAATCTTCTCCGTAAAGTTCCAATTTTAGTACGTGTGCTGCTGAAGGGAGCTCGAGCCAGTACTTTCTAAGTGCTTTACACATACTACCTGGTTGAGAAATGGGATGTTTGACACATTACATATGGGAATATGGTGGTCATAATTTGGGACAGACTATGAGGGATGAAAGAGAAGGAGCAAGAGAGGATGACTCCCAGGTTTCTAATCGGAGCAATGGCAGTGTGGTTGTGACACCATGCATGGCTATGGAAAGCAGAATGGCTTTTGGTGAGGAGGGGGACGATAAGCAGCTCAGTTTGGGTTGGTTCCAAGGTGCCTGTGTGACACCCAGGTGGGCATGCCTAGAAAGCAGATCACCTTACAGGGGCACCTGGATGGCTCAGGCGGTTAGGTGTCTGCCTTCAGCTCAGGTCATGATCTCAGGGTCCTGGGATCGAGCCCCACATTGGGCTCCCTGCTCAGCAGGGAGCCTGCTCCTCCCACCTCCCTCTGCCTGCCACTCCCCCTGCTTGTGCTCTCTGTCAAATAGATATTAAAAAGAAAAGATCTTATACCTTCAGAGAGTGATTATCAGAGAGGTGATGGCTGAAATGGAGAAGGAGGTGAAACACCCAGGAAGAGGATGTGAGAAAATAAGAGAAGGGGCCACCATTACACAGAGAAGAAAAGCAGATGAAATTGGGGAAGCGGGGTGTGCCGGAGGCAGAAGGGAACCGGGCATGAGATCCCAGGAACCTCCTGCCCTGGGGAAGGGGGGCCAGATGTTCAGTAGTGTCGGATGCCACAGCATAGGACATCACCAGAATAGACATGATGACCTCAGAAGGGAAAGCCGGTGGAGGTGTGGGGTGGTACCCAGCTTGTACCTCAGTGGGGAATGATAAATGGTGGGGAAGCAGATACAGGGCCAAAAATTCTTTTGAGAAACTTTGCTGGGAAAGAGGAAGATAGCAAAACAGCCAGAGGGGGAGTCGAGGTTAGAGGGTCCCCAAACTATCTCCAGACTGACTCTTCCCAGGAGCTCCTGAGGCATATTTTTACCAGCAAACTGGTTCTCTCCAGCTGGCTAGCCTGCCTATATAGCTTTTTAATATGTGTGCCCAGCCATCGACCTACAAAGGGTCTAAACTTAAGTTGACAAAAAGCATCATCACCTTTTCAACAGGAAGGCTGGGCTCTGAAATAATCGAATGTGACTGCTCTGTGCCTGACTCGGGGCCACACGGACGCGATGTTGGGCGGTTCTGGAACCATTCACAGCAGCGAGATTACCTCATGACCATGTTCCATCACTCCATGGCCACGTTCCACCCTTGCCTTGAAAGCCCCACACAGAGCATCTCGAGACACTTTCAGATCCCAACCAGAAATCTGTGGGGGGAGTTAAAAGCCGCAGTCGCAGAAGGAGATGCTCAGTTGAGGCTCACGGCTTTTCCACACGGACGTGTGCCAAAGCCTTTTCCTCTCTGTGTTCAATTGCGTTTACAAGCCTTTAAATATTAAACACCCACTAATATTGATGTTTGGGTACCAAATCAGTTTAGCTTCCTGGAAATTACTAGAATTTATATCATTCATTCATTTAATACACATTGATTAAGTGCCAGGCAATATGTGCAGGCAAACTGGAGAAGCCTGGATAAATGAGTATGGGGTGGTGTTCCTGCCCTCGAGAAGCCCACAGACATTTACCTAATAACACGACAAGGGTATTCATAAAAATAATAAAGTCAGGGCGCCTGGGTGGCTCAGAGCATGATCCTGGGGTCCTGGGATCGAGTCCTGCATCAGGCTCCCCACAGGGAGCCTACTTCTCCCTCTGCCTGTGTCTCTGCATCTCTCACTCTGTCTCTCATGAATGAATGAATAAAATCTTTAAAAAAAATAAAGCTAGTACTAATGAAAATCATGAAAGATATTGATGGGACACTAACTGTGTGTCAGGCACGATACTCCGCACCTTACATTACAAAAACCACACGTGTGAAGGTGTCTGGATCTGAGGCTGAGAAGACAGCTGGTAGTGGTTGCGGATGTGTCTGAATGTGGTGCCATGGGGCCTGCCTGGGTCCCCCTAGTAGGGGAGGGCAAGAACTGGCAAGACTAGACTTGAGTCTGGAGGAGGCTCCTCTGCTGGTGCCGTGCGAGTGGGCTGGGGCCAGGGAGAGGGGAGGCAAAGAGGCGAGGTCGGAAGCTGTTTCAGTAGTGCCGGCAAGGGAAGGTGGCAGGGAGACAATGGGTGCAAGAAGAAATACACCCTGGAGGCCTCCCACCTCTCTGGAGGTGGCAAGAAAGAGGGAGAAGGTTCTATTAACTCAGAGGTCAAGGAGTATCTTGGGAAAAGTAGATGAGCTTTGTGTGAGGTGCACACAGCTGAGTGGACAGCTAGGAATGAAAGTCTAGAATCTGGAGCAGAGGTTTGGGATGAGAGAAAATGGGGAGCAGTTGAGGAAAGTCCAAATTAATTCAGGTTGAATTTGGCCTTTCAACACCGAGATCACCCCTGAATTCGCCTTTCTTTCCCCGGAGGCCTTATATTTTTCATGGGAACACTGAATGGACACACACTTTCCCAGACATAACACACCTAGACACGCAGAGGCTGAACATCACAGAGGCACAGGCTCCCACATACTTGCACCTGACCTAGAGAGGGTACACAGAGGAACCCATACACACAGGTCCACGGATCACAGAAGTACACATCCATGAACACAAACACACACTCATACACACACATGCCCACAGGTGACAGGTATACAAACATAACTTACCCCCCCACACACACACATAAATATACCTACAGAGGCCACAAGTACACAACTTTCTGGAGAGGGTAAGGTATGTTTTCCAGTATCCACTGGAGTCTTTTCATCTCCCCAGCTGATGGCCTTAGACTGCTAGGAGCAACAGCCCCATGTGGTCATTGAACTCCCTCTGCCATTCATTCGTGTAAAACAGATTCCAGAAGGACACCTCTACGCCCCACTGGTGTGCATCCCACACTCTACACATCTACAGTCCATTGCACGCGAGCTGCTGTAAACTGAGAACAAGCCCCTAACTGGGAGTCGGTGAGCCATCGACCTGCAGGCCAAAGATCTCCACCGCAACACTCAACCCCCTTCTCACCAAAGAGCTTCTGCAGGACTTGTCCGTCATATAAATCTTCAGCCAGGTCTTTGACAATGATTCTTTCTCCGACAAGCACGTCATTAATCCAGTCAATTAATACCTACCAGGGAGAGAGACCGAATAAGAGAAAAGTCATGCGTATTTTCTTATAGATTAGCTTTCTTATCCTGGACAGTTAAAATCTAAATGAGCTTCCGATTTGGAAAGCAGAACTGGCCCCTGTGATTCAGTATGTGGTCACAACATGGTGTGAGCCCTGGGGACCCTGTTCTTTTTCTGGTGCAAGAGCTTCCAGTGCTGGTGACACCTGTTAACAGCATCCCTGTTAATATCTTGTGGCCCCTTACCATCCCTTACCCCAATGGCAAGCTACATTCATGTGGTGTTTGGGGTAAGGGATGTACCAGGCAACGGTATGGAGTTCTATAAACTGGGGTTAGTTACCCACTAACTGATTTGTGTAGCTCTGTCATCTAGGAGGCTCTGTGCATGTACCTCCACAATCTATGAATCTAAGTCAGGCCAGTTTCTGCTCTGAGCCTCTGATTGCCCACCTCCAAAATGGAGGAGGAAGATACTTCCCAGCTCAGCAGAAAAGAATTACGTATGGCAAAGGCCAAATGATTGGTGGAGGTACATCTTATGAATGAATAAAGCTCTCCCCCATCATGACACTCAGCCAGGTGGTTACCGTCACCCCCATGCTCAGGAGGGGAGATCACGCACAGAAGTGAACATATTTGCCAAGGTCACATCGTGGATCATGGACAGACACAGGAACCAAACTCTCCATCCCCCTCTAAGAGACTGATCTCCTGGCCCCAAGCTACCTGTCCGTGGGGCCAGTGTGGTCTCCTCTCTCATGTCTCTCTTAGCGGCTGCCATTACCTGAGCACCCTCTGCACCAAGCACCGAGCGGAGCCATTCCATGGGGCATCTCATAGAGTTAATCTGCACATTACCTCTGAGAGGGATGGATCATTCGCTTCATTTTTTCAGATAAGGAAACTGTAGCTGGTCCAAGTCCATTGCTCTCTGTTTTAAATTTTTTCAGCTCATTTGCTTATTATATTATTTATATACAGTAAAATTAACTGATATTAAAGATACGGTTTGGTGAGTTTTGGTCCTTTATGTAACCACCACAACCAAGATACAGAGCAATTCCCTCAGCATAAGAAGGTTCCTCTGGGATCTTTGGGCTCTGTCCCCTCCCCTGAGGACAGGCCTCAGGCAACTACCCACAATTTTGGAATAGTTGCCTGAGGAGTCACACGGAACATCACCTTTTGCTTTGATTCCTTTGAGTATAAACAGATTCCCTTTATAACAGGGGCAGTAGCTGGGCTGGGTTCCCACACCTGGGTGGAGCCTGGAGCCTTCACAGTACATTGTTCTACATTGTTCTACTGTCCATAGGATCTTCCCTCCCTACCCTTACTCTCCCTCCCTCCCTCCAGCCATCTATCCCCACCCATCCAGCATTTAGGAATAGCTGCTTCATGTCACATTCTGTGCTGGATCCTGGGGGTACAATGGTAAAAAAAGAGTCTCCTGAGCACCTCACCATTTAGTGAAGGAGATAAAAGGGTTTGAGTAGTGGTGACCAGTCATCAGACTCTAATAGGGACAGCTAGAGAGGCAGCTAGAGCATGAGACCCCAAATACCACCACCCTCAGGAGCATGGGCCTCAACCTTCAGTTGGTAGGAATCTATACACAGGGTTTGAGTAGGAAAATGATGGATCCGGTTCACATTTTGAATGAACCACTCTGGCATCCAGTGCCTTTCTGTCTTGTTTTGAGGGCAGCTTGGAGAAGCTGAAGAAGAAAAACAGAGGATGAGGAATCCAAAGGGGGATGGCATGGACATTTTGCAGGGGATGAGTACCCGCCAGCCCCTGTGGCAGGCACAAC